GATTTTAACCATGATAAAGACTGGAATTTAATCATTATTTTTGATGGGTTTTTCTCGGAATTTTCATACTTTTTCTGTCTGTCTGTATGCTGGTTGATCTACGTGCTAAATTTCGGGAGGTGGGACCTTTCATAAACGATACATTGGTGAAATCAGAAATTGCTGTCGAGTCCAAGTCGTAGATTTTTAACAAGATTTGACATTAAATTTGATTTTTAATAGTTCAGCGACTGTCGAGCGACTTCACCCCCTCCGGGAAATTGTAGGCTAGGTACTTGACTAGTACATGTACTGATGGTGATCTTGGTAGATATCTGTCACCATGCTGTAATATAACTAAACTCAGCTCAGCGACGCATATGTACGCGACGCCAAACCGAGAATTTAGCGATTGAATTTTGGGCCTAGCCTCGATCATCATTACTAAAGTCGGTACGATAAAATACATAGTCTCGATTATCCATTTCTTGATTTAATCATGAATGAGCGTTGAGCAGCAGATCGGATTTAAATCCAGTAAATACCGCAGGCTAGCGGATGACATCGAGAGTTGATTATGGTCTGGATAAGTTAATTAATGTCTAATTAATAATTTAGATAACGTTTCAGGCCTAAAGAAAGACCTGTAATAGACAGATTTAGCTCTTGCATAATGTATATCCAAATAGATTTAATATGCATGTAACCTGCTTATCAACATTTGACGTTACGTCTAGTATATTTATACATATTTATCTCATATATTAAATCTACTTCAAGCCAGTTACAACCACCCACGTTCTAAATAATATTAGATAATATATATTTATAACCTATGGCGTTTCTTAGACGAACAATGGGCATCCTTTGTCGCATACACACGCCTTCAATTATGAGTTGTTGCAGAACAGTAGGACGTTAACCCCATTTCATTTCCTTCACCTGTGGCACAGAAATATGCGCACATGTTGAAGTTAACAATTTGATTTTAAATATTTTGAAAGAAATGACAATAAATAGCCCGAGGGGAGTAAACAGCCTAAAAATGAAACGAATCAAAAGGTTATAAATATATTTTCGTTCTTTAACAAAATCGGGTCAAGTATAATAGCTTATCTTTCCATATGCATACAAGTCATAAAACATAACATATATTTAAAGAACGGGACAATAAAAAAAAAGTCCCAGTGAAGAAAAAAATCGAAAAATATAACGGAACGAAATGTTACAAATGTTAGGTCAATCATAATAAGCGTATATATATATATATATATATTCAGAAATATTAGCACAACCGAAAAGCTGCACTACTTTGTTTCACGGTAAACGATAAAAAGAAAAAAGGTATGCCGACACAAACTGATTTCAACACTGGTTTAATAACATTTTAAAGTACTTTTCGTCCGTCTTGGGACTATTCATAAATAATGTCATTGTATCAAGATGGAGAGAGGGAGAAATGGGGTTTAACGTCCACTCGGCACAAACTAGGTCATTTCGGGACTTACATATGGTTTAATTTTATTTCAATAATTCGCTTGCGCGTAGGGGTCTTTAGCAGTGGGAGGAAACCGGAGGACCCGGTGAAAACCCACGAGGTTGGAGTATAAAGATGGACTGTTTAGTGTATTTATACATATTTACATAGTAACACTGTGGTTTTAATTGGCTATAGTTACAATTGTCTATGGTTATGGTTATGTATATGCGTATCAAGTGATAAACCCAACGTATTTTCAAATAACAACAACCCATCCAAGTGAAATAAACAACCGAAATATGTTGGGTTGACCTTGACAGACTGCGAGAAAGGTCATGACCGTTTATTACAAAAGATAAAAAACATAAATATTTTCAAATTCTATTCAACCATAGAGGTTCTCCCCATCCCACTATTCTAATCCTAGTTGAGATGAGAGAGTGGAAGAAATGGGGTTTAAAGTTTACTCGACACAAACTAGATCATTTGGGGACTAACACATGGTTCAATTTTACTTCAATAACTCACTTGCGCGTAGGGGTCTTTAGCAGAGGAAGGAATGGAAGGACCCGGAGAAAACCCACGAAGTTGGACTGGCGACCCTACTCCATGTCACGTACAATCGGGAAATCGAAACCATGCCAGTTGACTCAATGACAGACCTTATGATACAACCTGCACGCCCTAACCATTCGGCCATCCAATCACCCCACCCCACTCGATGGCGATGAGAGCTGTTGAATGAAACCCAACCGTTAAACAGTAAATAATTAAAATATAGATATACATGTACCAAATACAGCTGTTATCGTCAGTGATTTTTATGAATATTCATGTGCGTAAAGAACGGCTTTTAATTGTGGGAACAGCTTTGATGATAGTACGATTCTAGTGGATTAGTGCTAAATGATAAGGCCAGCTCAATTTTTTGTCATAGGTCACGAGATGTAAACAGGGAGAGCGCTAATGCCAACCCTAACCACAATGCTTACCTTAACCCTAACCTACAATCACGCCAACAATCGCGTGCCTTAACCTTATTTACATCTCAGCGCCCTTGACCAAAATTGAGCTGGCCTTAACAAATAGATTTAGCCATTCTAGTGGATCTGAGGAAGCACGAATTAAACTATAACTGTTAAGCAATTCCTAATTTTCGTCCTAAAGGTGCTAAGAAACGACGCAAATGGGTGGAATCTACTGAAACTGTCCAATTTGTCACGGCTCTGCTCCTATGGGCCTGGCTCTTTTTCTTTCAACAAATCTTGAAGATATTTTGCCAGGAAACGAAATACAAGGCAACAATATCTAAGTAGTCCGGTCAGCCCACAACGGTTTTCGCGCATTTAGATTTTGTAAGTAATAGGAGCATTCCTAATAAACTAAATTAGATCAAGTAAAAACATTTCAATGCACCCAAGCAAAGTATTTCACAAAGTTGGTTGAAATCTATCAAGCAGTTTAGGTGAAGAAGTCAGCATATCTTTCAATTGTACTATTTTGGACAAGGGGGTTAACAATCTATAAATATAGTGTGCGTCTGTTCTGCCCCTATGCGGTAAAAATGAAATGAAATGGGGTTTAACGTCCTACTGTTTTGCTCCGAACTAAGCTAATGAAGACGGGCATACCATACAGTGTGCTATGAGGGACATTTTGTCCGGACAGTGGCACTACGGCCTACTCTTATATCGAATTCCAACTGTCAAGGGATCTTTTACGTGCACGCCAATGTATACACGGGACCTCGGTTTTTCGTCTCATCCGAATGACTAGACAGCTGTCCTATGCGGTAAAGGGACTGGCTATATTTCAAAGAGATTTGAATACATGTAAATACCACCAACTACACCAACAAGTCGAATACGTGCAAAAACAGAACACGTCACACCCACTATGAGCCCACCAAAAATCAACTGAATACGGTTATTCACAAATAAAGCAATATACATGTTTCTTCCAAATTTTGTTTCGGAGAAGTTAAAATGTCAAAATCTGCACTATTAAAGTGGCCTTCCCCACACTTATAGATCCGAATGGCTAATCTACAGACCAAATTTAGTCAAAATCCATTACACTGTTCAGGAGACAAATTGAAAATAGTGTGAAAATTTCGCCGTTGACGTTATCCTGTCTCGCGCCATAGCACTTGCGTCAGGGCCCACAATAGTTAGTTGGGGCCCCTTAATTTGTTTAATTTGTTATTTGACATACATTACTAACCATTGGGCATTCTGATAGTGTTTTTCTATTTAATTTATATGTATTCATATAAAACAAATATAATCTATACTATTTGTCATATAATTCAATTTCAATATAATCTTACAGGGGGGGGGGGGGGGGTGTATGTGTGTGTGTGTGGAGCGGGGGGGGGACTTGACAAGACCACAATTTATGGACACATACCAACATACTCTGGTTGAAATACACCAAGTACGCGTTGTTTTGAGAATAAAGTTGGGATTTTGTGAATTTTCCTGTTTAAGATGTCTCACTTCGATATGAATAAATCTGAATATACATCTCCAAACCCCACCCGTTTATCCCTTCCCCTTAAACAGCACACTTACTGAATCTTATTGAAATCTACCAAATAGTAGGAGAATAAGTAAAATATTTGTGAAAATGTTTTACCCCCCCCCCCCCCACCAACCGCCCCTGCCAGTTGTCCCTGTTCCACGTCTATCGGGGCGATCAAATTCCTGGGGAAAATCTTCATAAGAAATATCAAACCGTTTAGTATTCTCCATAACCTAAGCAGAAAATGTTCGTTATCGAACTTTTATTATGGATGGATACAATGAAACTGTACCCATTGCCAAGTTTCAGTAGAGGAAGAGTTATTGTGCTACAGTGTCTAGACCAATTTAATTGCTTATCTCTGCTTAGGTAAGCAAAGTTATTGTGTTCAAAACCGTGCTTATTCTAAGCAGGAAATACTCAACACGTCTGGACATTCCCCTAATATACACCAAGGTTGTACATTCTAGCCCAACTTAATGTGCATTATAGTTTCATTGCATCAATACATGTACCTTGACTATGTTCGATAATGAGCATTTTCTGCTTAGGTTTATCAGAATGATAAACTATTTTCATCGGTGTCATCGATTTATTTTGGGTACTGAGTAGGGGAACTCCGTGTCACTATTGGTTTGTTTAATCAATTTCAATTTACAGCAAATGTTCCCATCATCTGAGAATTCACATAATTAACAACTACACCAAGTTTAAACACTCTAGCTCAAATACAAGCAGTGCTATTGTGTCTCAAAAACTATGACGGACAGACAGATGGGTTGGTGAATCCAATTTAATAGTCACCTGTTTTCTTCCACAGGACATGCGAAATAGAGATAGATAAATACTCACCTTTTACACTGCGACCGGAAGTAAAAGATGCTTTAGCTCGTGCAAATAAAGATGTAGAGGGAACGGGTTGAATTTTATGGCTCTGATTGTTGGAGTTACCTAACCTGATAGCAGCAGGTTTATCATTATTGACACTAGAGGGCGTTTTGTCATTAGAATTACTTACATTGACAGATGGCGGTGGTGGATTAGGCCCAGGTGTGCGAGTGGTGGAGTCGAAAGAACGTGGTTTTGGTTCAGGTCGGCTGTTTGTATCTGGTACTCGTTGAACTTCGGTTATCTCCGTTACTGGTCGTTTTATTACGGCACTTTCCGGAATATTTATCGTGGCCTCAACTTCAATGTTGGATGCGGGTATAATTGTCTCTTTTGGTTCAGGCGTTTTAACACGAGGGGGCTCTGACACAGTTTTAGACTTAGTTACGCGGGCGAAATGTTCACTGATTTTTAAAATAGGTTTCGGTAACCGTCTTTCTGGCGGAGCTTTTACGGTTGCGGTCTGAATTTCAGGAGGGCCTGGACGTGTAGGAGAACTCGGAGAGACGGGTGAGGTGGGGCAGGGAGATGACGATTCGCTATTTTTGGGACTTTCGGGGGCAGATTCGTCATCAGAAAAAGTCACTGTGGGTATCACTAATTGTTCTTTTTTACCTAGCTCGGGAGATTTTGGTTTTTCAGTGTCTTTTGTCTCGGCTTTAGCATTTGCAGCTTTCGCCTCGAACATGGCCCTTAATTGTTTAAAAGATAATATGGGAACAGGCATTAATCCTTTGGGTTTCTCTTTTTCTCTATATTTTTCACTCGGTAATCGAACGTTCGGTGTGGATTTGGACTTATTGTTCAGTACTGAGCGTCTATACTCTTCTTGAGCAGCAGTAGCTGGTGTGTATTTACGGAATATTCTTGAGCTAGATGATGGAGTTACGCGAGTTTTAATGACGACATTCCCAGATTGTGATGTTACCGAGGGGCAGGGCGAGGAGATAATACTGGGTGAAAAGGCGGAGTACCCAAACGACGACATGGTCGATGTAGAATCTCTCCGCAAGATAGTGCTAGCGCTCTTAGTTAAATTAGAATGTTTATACCAATCGGGAACATTTAATTTAGATAGAGATTTTGTTACCCGTAATTCGTGTACCGAAGGAGTTCGGGAAATCGTGTCTGGAAATACGTCATCATCTTCATCATCGATGTTTGTTTCCAGAGTCTGTAAACTTTTAGATTTTGGTGCGAGGTGTCGATCCGCAAACCGCCTGTTTCCCGACTTGCGGGGTATCCGCTCTGACCTAAGATCCGTCATACTGACCGCCCTGTCACTTGGCTGCTGTAAATATAAAGAAAAGTCCAGATCAGTCTCTGGAAAACCAGACTCTCCAGAAGTTTTCCACGTGTCTAGATCAGTATCTTGAAGGGACGTCGCCGAGCCGAACTGACGAAGTTGAAGGTTGAGATTTTCGATAGAGAGTGTTTTATCGTGTATTTCGCGACGACCTTCCGGCGATAAAATGCAGTTTTTATGAAGTTCGTGTACATGCGGTTTAGTAAATGACTCGTCCGAGTCGATTCTCGAGGCATAAAGGTCAGTGATATGTTGAAGTTTTTCTACACTACTAAATGACGATTTACTACGGTACCTCTTATTAGGTTGGAACGTTCCTATTTTAGGTAATGGGGATAATAAATGTTTTTTGTAGTCATCAAATAACTTTTTCTGATGCTCTTGTTGTTCACTTTTTGATAAATTCCCCTCACTGAGAAATCTGAGTCTTGATGCGATAATGTCTTCCCTGTTTGTATGAGCACTAAGTTGGGCAGATGTTAGAGGAACTCCCGACTGAAGGGCGGATTTATAAGCACGGTGCTGGGCTATCTTTCGTTTAATTTGACGTAGTGATCGAGGTTTCTTTTGTGCTTCGCTAAGTGAACTATCAGCGGCGCTATCGTCTGCTTGCGACTGTGATGTTAAATCGTACGAATCGTAGCTATTGTTCCAATCTTCACTGGACGTTATCTCTGGAGATGTGGGTCCGGTTACATTATGATCATCAATATCAGATGGATGGCTGTTTGGGCTAGCTAAATCACCAGATATAAAATTTTGGTCAACAGGATTCGGTTTTAATTTTATTCTCGATCTAGTATCGATAGTAAGTCCTTGATCAACACTGGATACCGACGTTGAGAAACTTGTAACCGAGGAACGCGGACTCTCAGCTATTAAACTGTCCTGAGGATGTGCGTCTATAGAGTTAGAATCAAGAGATGTATCATCTGTAGTGGTTTCCCAATTTTGTGTTCCGTTAGCAGCTGGGCTAGTTTCAACGTTTACTCCTGGCTCGTCAATGGAAGTTTCAATAGGACGCCGAGGAACTTCCGAAGATTTGTTCGGTCTACCTGTTGTTACTTGTAATTCGTTATCTGGTGGATCTATTAGGGTCTCTGTTATCTGCGAAGATTGAACAGATAAATTAGTGGAAGTATCTACAACTTTACTGATTATGGGATCATCGTCTATAGACGTTTCTTTGGGAGGTGGTTTGACGATGGGGCTAGTTTGTATTACAGCCGCTGGTTCGTCTATCAGAGTCTCTTTTACTTTAGATGGAAGCTGAACTCCTTGCCAATCAATCGCACCTTCGGTGACCTTTCCCGGGGCTTCCTTTTTGGCAGGCCTTTGTGGAAGAGTAATACTTGGGCTATAAATAGTAGATTGAAATGATTGACTTGGTTCATCAATTGATGTTTCTTTTGGTGGGGGCTTAACTGATGGACTCGTTTCTAATTTAATCGAAGGTGCATCAATTGAGGTTGCCCAGGAATGCGGTGTCGGTATATTTGGTAAAGGATCATTAATCGAAGTTTCCTTATAATTCTGGTGCGGTGTCAACGCAGCTGCGGACGTCTGTTGATGTTTGGTTGGAGGTTTCAATACTGGTCCAGCCTCAATTGATGGCGCAGGATCGTCAATTAAGGTCTCTTTAATTGCTCGTATCTGGACGGTTGAATGCTTTTCAAGATTCGGAGATGGGTCGTCAATAAGAGTTTCCTTACTTTTTGATAAATTTTTAGATAGTGAAACTTTTGCAGGGGGTAACTTGATCGTTGGACTTTTGATAGTTGGCGAAGTCACTATCGGGCTGGATTGTACGAAGACTGCAGGTGCGCCAATACGCGCTTCTTCAATTCTTTGGTTGCTTTTAGAAGGGAGTTTTATTACTGGACTGGGTTCGTCTATTATCGTTTCCCTGCTGTTTGATTTTCTAACTGGTGTATTTTTATTAACATTAGTAGGTCTAGGTTCATCAATGGATGTTTCCTGGACCTGCTTTCGAGGAAGCTGGATCACTGGACTGGGGTCATCGATGAGAGTTTCCTTGCTTGACGATGAAGATAATGTTTGGAATGATGACCTGTATTCGATGGTTGGGCTTCTATGGTCAGCCGCTTTTAACTTTGTTGGTTGGTTTGATAATGGTGGCGCTGGTTCGTCAATCACGGTTTCCTTTGGGAGGCTTGGTGCAGGATCATCGATCACTGTCTCTTTTACCTTGATTTTAACAAATGGCCCCTTATCAATTATTAATGAGGGTCCAGATTCTGGTATTTGGTACGTGCTTTCGATGTGTTCTTGTGGAGATTCCACTCGGAAAGGATTGTCTGTATCAATGGATGGTAACGGATCATCTATATTCGTTTCCTTACTTTCTGTTGATATAGGGCTTGGGTCATCAATTAACGTTTCTTTAATTTCTTTGGATTTGGAAGATATGTTAACGTTTTCTGGTGAATTGTTTACTTGGATATTAAAATTAGCGTTTTTCTGTCTATCAGGGGTGTTGATCCGGAATGGGTTATCTCTTTCGATTGTAGTATGGGTTTTTACGTCTAATTCAAGATTCTTTGGTTTTACTCTTTCGTGGAATTTTCCTTTGTGTTCGTTTGATTTAACCTCTTGGAATTTAACAGAATGGCTCTGTTCTGATTTTATTCGTTTTGAATTGTCCTTGCCCTTTTGGCGAAACTGTTCGTTTATGGCGCTGTCTCCGTTAGATTGTCTTTTCTCAGTAGGTGACGAAAATGTTGTCTCCTTAACTTTTGGTTTCAGCGCTTCTCCGATAGACTGTTTTTTCACACTTGATGGTGAAAAGGTTGTCTCCTTTGCTTTTGGTTTCGGCTCTTCGGATTCTGCGCCAAAAGTGGTTTCTTTTATTGAAGACTGTGGTGGTTCTGGGCCAAATGTTGTTTCTTTACTTGATAAATTTGGTTCTGGGCCGAATGTAGTCTCACGACTTTTCTGTCGCCTTGTGACGGTTTGTTGTTTCGGTCTTACTGGGCTGCTTTCTCCTGGTGTAGTAATGCTGTTTTTAACGTTCTGCTTGTCTTTAAGGACTGTTGGTTTCTGGGCAGTTATTTTTACAACCGGGCTATCTTCTACCGATGCACGCCTTGTTAACTTTTCGCTAGCTTCCTTGAGAACTGGTTCGATGTTTGTGCTTGTAGGTGAGAGAATCCTAAACGATGTTTTCGGACGATCATTGATCACAGTTAATGGAGAAGATGTGCGTACTGGACTTCCGCCATCTGGGGGACTTTCTTCAACACCACGAGAAAAATCTAGAAAGTCAACAGGTTCTTCATCGTCATTAGATTGCCGAATACATCGTCTAAGAAATATCTCACGTTCAGATTCTCCAACTCCGGGTACGTCGTTTAGGTACTCCTTGGGGGCCCCGTCTGGGGCTTGCAGGATCCAGCGACCAGTTGTCTCGTCATAGACCTCTACCAGTTCTTCACCCCAACTATCATTATCTTCTTCTTCGTTTCCGTTTTTGTTATCATGGGAGTTGTTGTTATCCTCAAATACGTGGTCGATATTTGTCTCAAGTCTTGCTTTCTTTGCAGTACCGGGTGAGTCAAATCTGTTATCTATGTCGATTTCTAATTTAGGTTTTGGAGAACTGTCAGAATGAATGGAACCGATTACTTCTTCCAAACAGGCAATGTTCTCGACATCGTCATCATCAAAACTTCTGTCTACCGTAATTTCCGTCCCGATGGTATCCGAGCGCTTTAAGTATCTATTTTGTTTTAACTGTGAATTAAAATCATGATCATTTACAAAATCAAGATCTGTTTCTATAGGTTTGATCAACTTCAATTGGTTTGGTCGGTTGTTCGGAGATTCTTCACCTTTCTTTAGCTTCGCAACCGGTTCACAATCCGGCTCACTGTCCACTTTCGAACCAATAGATAATCTTTTACGTGGCACTGGAATTGGTGCTACCTGTTCCAGATTATCTTCAATTGTTTGGATATCATCTGGGTCACGATCTTGGGTGTAGTTTTTTTGATGATAATCTACAAACTGGGATTTGCAGGTCGTGAAAGTGAAACTTTGGGGAGAATTCTTAACTGCTGTAGATTCATAAGCATCGACGTATTTCACACGATCAGAAGTTTCTTGAAGAGATCTGTTTGAGTTATTTGTATCATCTTCCTTATTGTTTGTCTGAAAACTGCCTGAATTCGTCACTACATATTCACTATTAACATGTTTATCCTGTTCGGAATTATTGTCTATCACATTTGACTCGCTGGTTTGAACATGACCTGAATTGTCTATGTCCCCTGTCGCACTATGAACACGATTATCTCGGGACAATGTAGTGTTTACGAGGCTTTTAACAACATTGTCATTAACATTGGGTAATTCTCCTATTTGCTGAGCAACTAACGGTTTATTTTGCAATGCACTAGTTAGTGCTGTATTATGCCTGTTAAAAAGTTCACTTATTCTTTGTTTATACGAAGTGTCGTAATCACCATGCTGTGAGTCATGGAGAGTTGCCGGTTCAACGCTTATGGAACCTTGATCACTTTTATTCTCCGAGGCTTGTTTACCGTTACTATGTATTCCAGGCACTTCGTTACCTGTTACAGGTGTAACACTTGCACTGGCATTTCCTGTTAGTTTTACTCCATTTTCCTCGGGTGTTTTACTACTACTACTCTTACCGCTTGTATCGTTTACTCCCAGAGACCACGATGAACTGGGTGGTATACGTACAACTTGTGGCTTCGTCACATTAGTGTTATAAAATGGTGACTTGTCTGTTATTGACGCATGTTTACCGGCATCTGGTTGGCGCGTGCTGCTATTGTCGTCTGATCGATACTCATCACTATGGTTACCAGGTGCAAACGCCGGAAAAGCAGACGACATACCAGTCACGTTTTCGATCATTTTTGGACTTCCGGTAGAATCTATTGTCGACGTAGAATTCTGCCGGGTAAGCACAGTGACAATAGATTCATCACTTCCAGATGAATTTGTCTCTTCTGACTGTTCAATGGGATATTGTGGTACTCGTGACATTAACTGTTGAAGAGTACAATCGCCTGTCACTGGAATGTTTACTTTATGCACAACGTTTGTTCGCTCCAAGTTTCCATCCGAATCCGTAATGCTTATTGTTTCACGTGTAAACAAAGTCACGTGGGAGGTTGATGAACCCGATTCTTCTTCATCATCTTCGTCTGAATCACTTATTTCATTTGTCGTCTGTTCGGGGACGACAGCTTCTAATAATTCGTCACTTTCTAATTTTCTTGTCACATATCGTTTTAAAGATCCAGTTTCGTTTTCTGATGTGTCATGTTTTAAAGAGTCGATGTCACTATCGCTCTGTAACTCCTCCTTTCGGAACCGTCTATGATCAAAACGTTTCAGCGACTCGGTGTCACTTCCACTACTCGGTATTTCATCCGAATCTTCCTCCATGATGGTTTCCAACATGTTACAACAATACATTTCCTCGTCCGAATCCAAAACCCTCGGTTCGATATTGTCATCAAATGGATCACTATTACCGAACGGGTCGAACTCGTTGAATGCATGAAATTCCTCGTCCATAAAATCCTTGAATGCTGAATTAACTTGTCCATCTTTACTATTGTTATTGTGGATAGGGCTTGATTCCGCCTCTTGGGCCACCCATCTATTGCTGTCAAAACCTGAATCTACGTCATTTGTTTCCATGGATGGCCATTTCTTTAGTGCCTCTAGTGACAGTAAATTATTAATACGGAATTCGTCTAACGATATATCTTGAATTTTCGGCTCCTCCTCACTCATCGCGACCCCCTCTAAGTCCCTCGATTTCCCCTCGGACACCCCCTCACCCTTTCCTACACTTAGTTTGGGGATTTCCCGATTAGCGGATGTTGTAGCTGCCATTTGTTGTTGTTGTTTATATCGCGATAACTCTTTCTCGAGCTCCCCTCTTACCTGAACCGTAGCGTCCTCTATACGCATTCCCCCGACGGCCCCTCCCTCTTCCCCTCCTTCGCTTTGTTCCGCCAATAACCGCCACGAAAACATGATGGTAATAATGGCAGCCACAGCAGCAGTGATGAATCTTTCAAAAGCTCCATCCCCTCCCGCGACAGTGTTACCTGCATTTCTTGGTATCCAGTCATCCATATTTCCACCTCGAATTTCTCGTCACACCTGAGCTCTCGCGACACCTATATCTCACCACAAATTACGCCATTTTAACTATCAACACACAACTGCTATATTCCTCGTTAAGGCACACATGATCACTGTCTAAAATCGATTATATTTATGCCGTAGAAGTTGGGTTTAAATCCATTAGAACACGTATATATCCGTCGCCCTACTGTCACAGGTAAGCCAAGTAAGAATTAGAACACCACATTCCCAAGTCTTCCGTTAACCAATCACACGTTCACTGCTTGTCACATGACTCCCACCAGGGCGTGACCTGTGTGTTTACGAAATAACTCACAGTGATGACACAGGCGACTAACAATAGCCCGTTACGCTCAATTACCGGCCCCTACTATAACTTTGGTGAAAGACACTTGGCAAGGTATTCAACATCAAGCGTCCCTTCGCCTGGAAAACTAAAGTCAATCTCGGGATTATTTTCGATCTTCACACATCGACTCTAGCAGACGACACTTCCTCGATTTGATGAACAGCAGGCGAGAACGACGAACAAACAAGCTCACTGTTTACCGATTACAAATCTTTCACTCGGTTTGTAGCTATTCAAATTTCAACACGGGACAAGCACTTTACTGATAACGTCTTGAATTCTCGACTTCCTTGATAATAAATGGACAGTCTGGCTTTTTTTGGTAGAATATTAAGTTCGACGTCTACGGGATCACAATTAGGTCCAGACCAAATACTATTAGTGTCTATTTACTCTTGAGAATAAAAATGTGGAAGACGGCAAACTCCGGTATAGGGCGGTCTAACTTTTGAATTCCATCGGCTACTCTGGAAGTGACTGCTACTTGTTGTCGGTGTTATAACGCTCTTCGCACGGTGGGTGGTTTGACGTCTGCTGTACAATCGAGCTAATGAGAAATCTATTTTCCTATTGATTAATTCTTCAGTTATTGCAACAAAAGGCCGTATGAATTCTAACTGATTCAACTAGAAGTAATTTTCCCTAAAAAGTGTTATCTTTAAGTTATCAAGATTCAATATAAAACAACACAGTGTGCTTTTTGTTGTTGTTAGGAAAATAATCAAAATGGCCAACATAAAGACACGATCAATTAAATACAATTGGTTAGTTATACCGATAAAAGCGAGTATTATTGCTTTCTTGCCTAATGCCTTTCATTAAATAGAAATTTTCCTTGAGAAAAAAAACAAACTTTAGTTTACTTGTGGTTTACTTTTATGTGATTTTTCTACTGTTCTTTAAACTGATTTTTATTTTTTTTTTCAGATAAGGAAAATGTCGAATTTTAATATTATTGAGTGCGTACAAAAAAGGTTAACGCCTTTAAAATCTCGAAGCTTATCTTTTGATCGTTTATTGTGCTAACGCGGACATAAAATCAGATTTGTTCTCGCTTACATCACATTTCTTCCATATAGGACATCACTGGATTAAACCATTAAAACTAACAATATAGTGTAATTGTCGACAGAAGGGTATGGGGTTTAACGTCCACTCGACACAAACTAGGTCATTTCGGGACTAACACATGGTTCAATTTTATTTCAATAATTCGCATGCGCGTAGGGGTTCTTTAGCAGTCGGGGGAAAACGGAGGACCCGGAGAAAACCCACCAGTTTGGACAGGCTGTAGAAAGAAAGGTATCCAATTTCAATACAGTGAATGAACATTTTGAATAGGCTTTTAATTATACTTAATCCTTCTTTGTGGTATGTGTCATTTAATTACCCGTAAATAGATTACACAGATGTATTGTCATTATATTATTGTTACCTGTGTCTGATTTTAAATTCCGTATTAAAATTATGAAATATCCCATGAGGTATGTCAACTGAGTCACGTATGATTGTTTTCAAATGTAAATGAGAAATTCCCAAATAAAGTCATCTCATAGCTATTATATGACAGAGACGTGATAAGCTACTTGTCATAATACGTTTAATAATATACTAGTGCTTAATATGTAATTCTGTTTATGACGTATTACGTATATAGATATTAAAGGTATGTTTTTATGTACTAATCACTCAATGACAAAGTCAGCTTAGTTTAATAAGCTATGACAAATTATCGATTATTGCTTACAGGCATTGCTCACATATGATCAATGAATATGCGTACGACAATATGGCGTCATACTGTGTTTAGCCTGACCCCGATTCACTGATATAGGTATGTGTTATTACCTAATCAAATATCTTACATAGTAAATCTGATGTAAGATGATAAGATATACATGAATGGTATACCGATGTCTACCAGAAATAATGTAGCCTATATTCTCAGAAAATCACTAGTGTGCCTATCAAAATTGTAGATACGTATCAAAATTATGAATAATTCCACTAAACGTCATGAAATTTTAACTTTATACCTGACTGTTAAAGCGACGTTATTTTAATTGAAGGACCTGTTCTGTATGAAATGAAATGGGGTTTGACGTCCTACTTTTCTGCACAAACACAGCTAACGAAGCTGGATTATTCTTTTGATTACGATATTAATGATTATAAGAGATAATAAATATGTTTAAACGTCATATAGTTACAATCACCATCCGATTGTGTTCATTTCAAGTTTACTCTGTTGATTAATTTTGGTCCACTACACAAATCACGTCCATCTTGTGAAAAGTAAAATTTACGGGAGCTTTTTCAAGAGACATATGTCCAATGTTCCACTACTTCACCATTCTTTAGTCTCCTAGCTCCAAGTGCATTATCATAGATGTACTTCATAAATTAATTCGAGGGCACAACACTGAGCGATCGCTTTTGAAAGTAGAGATTCATGCCCCCCCCCCCCATCCATTCCGGCAATGGTTTTAAACGATACAACTTTAACAAGGTCTGGATCACTTCCGTCCTGTTTAAGGATTTAATATAATTCTGTTTTCTACTACTTCCTTCCATAATAAGTCCGTTTATCCGATTAATACAGTGGCTAAATTAGATTAAAAATCACAGCACGAAATGTATATCCACTCTCCGAAATATATCCACTCTGCGACATATATCTCACTCAGCGAAATACATTTCCACTCTCCGAAATATATATCCACTCTCCGAAATATATTTCCACTCTCCGAAATACATTTCCACTCTCCGAAATATATATCCACTCTCCGAAATACATTTCCACTCTCCGAAATATATATCCACTCTCCGAAATACATTTACACTCTCCGAAATATATATCTACTTTCTGAAATACATTTCCACCCTCTAAAATACAATAATATTTACTCTCTCACATAGCGTTCTGTTTATTCTTATAGCACTTAATATCCACTCTCCGAAATATACTAATATCCACTCTCCGAAATAGATTAATATTCATTCTACGAGTTCAGTTTATTATTATAGCACTTTACGTGACGTTATTATGCAAATGACAAAAGTTGTTCTTATTAGCATTTCACTACATCTATTGAAGCGCAATGAAGCGCGATAAATTAAATTTAGGAATCCCCGCACAACAGCAGCACAACAGATTTGGTTTACAGTAGAGATTTTTAAATGAAATAACGTTTCGGGTTGTAATATCCTTTTTCAAGCACAATACATTTAAAATGTGTACCTGTAAATAGACTGTGTACTTTGTTGTTTAACGGTAAATTCAGTATACTGTGAAAAGATGTCAAGGAAACATTTGGAAATTGTGGGTGATACGTTGAAGGATTTTGTGTACCATATGAAAATTCAGGAGAAGGATATATATCTGTTTTTATTGCTACATGTCTCTTGCTCCAGATATTATTCTCTCCGTGTATCGTTCTTCTGACGTTTTGTGCTTGTAATATTGGATCATTTCAATGGCATAGGGTTTCATTAATGTTAAGGGAGCCTCAACGAAGACGCTACTGTGAATTCCTGTGTAAGTATATATCACAGAAACCCCCCATCGTCAGTTTCTGTAACCTTTGTCCTTGTAATAACATCTGTTTTAGTAAATCCGTTCCGTTATCTCTTCCCCTTCTTCAGATAATTAGGAAATGAGGGGTTTCATTAATGTTTAGAGAACCCCACAACGAAGACGCTACTGTGAATTCTTGTATAAGTATATATTACAGAAAACCTTTTCGTCAGTTTCTGTAACTTTCGTCCTTGTAATATCATCTGTACAACTGTATGTTTTTAGTCAATCCGTTCCGTTATTTCTTGCTCTTGTTCAGATAATTAGGAAAATAGGGGTTTCATTAATGTTAAGACGTTACTGTGAATTCATGTATAAGTATACATCAGAGAAAACCCTTTTCGTTATAGTTTCTGCAACTTTTGCCCTTGTAAAAATATCTGTTGAAACTAAAACTGTATGTTTTTAATCAGTCCGTTCCGTTATCTCTTGCCCTTTTTCAGATAATTAGGAATTGAAATAATATCCAGATGGTACCGTGGAACAAGGGGATTTTATACACATTAATGAGCTTTACTTTAATTGATGTATATTGATTCCTAGTTTACCAGAGACAACGAAACCTGCAAATTTAATGAGTTTACGTAAAACTCGATATACTGTATCTGCACATTCAATCTCCCGCTTTTATACATTTTGATCTTATCCAGATTTTTGGTGTAAAAAATCAATTCTTTGTCCTGAGAATTACGATTGACCTACTATTCGGAACACACTTTTGACCTGATTAACAATTTATAAGGTCGTTAAAAAGGTCAATATCATGTGTTTAATTATTAACGTGATGTAACTTGTTATCTAGATGGAACGTGTTAAAAAAAACAACAACCTGATACGAAACACTTCCAATTAGTTTCCGAATTAATTGCTTTCTGATTAATTTTCCTTGATTTGGTTTACGCGACACTCTCTATCATTAGTTAAACAATCCGAGGTGGGTGGCGGTTCCTGGCTTTTATTAATTTGGTATGAACCTTAAGTCATTTGACCGAATCTGTCAATAGGCAGTCCGGTTTTGTTACAGTTCAAACAATCCAACATTACGCACAACAAAGACGTTCTCTTTTCAATGAAATTATCATTAAACGGTTTAGGTTCGACATAGGATGCATAATTATGCCCAATTATGTTGTTCGGTTCATTGTAGTCCGGACAATATAACATTACGCCGGACAAAATCGTTCCAAAATCGTCAATAAAGGGTTTAGGTTCGGATACGATCTATAATCATGCCCAATTTAGTTCGGTTCGTTTCAGTGTGGACAATTGAATTTAATGTGTGGTTCGCACGACAAAAACGTTCCAATTGTAATGACATTTTGAATA